AAAAAAAAAAAAAAAAAAAAAAGTTTGTAGTTAATTTACACGCCATTTGGTTTGAAGCTTGTGATAGGTGGGTTTACCATTTTGCAGACATGCAGGCAGGATAGATGTCTGTTTTGTAATGCTAATAAATGCAGATTTCAGTACACGTCTCATGGGTTTGTTTTTCATTTTGGAACTTGTGATATTTGGCAAAATGAAACAATGTTGTGGTTGTGCACCTCCACACTCCCAAAACAGAACTCTTTTAATGCTGTTCTCTGTTTCGAGATTATGCATTGAGAAAGCAGACCAGTTGTCAAGTTCTCATGTAGTAAAACTGATAGCAGCTCGTTACACAGAACATAGAACAGGTTGAAGGCATCACAACATTAATATCTTCATTTACTGCACTGTAAAATGATTCAGCATGCTTTGCATTCTGTACTAATTAATGTATGAAAAACTGGAGGAACATCAACTGTATGATTTCCCAACTGCAACATCAACCACTCAGCCTATGATAACGAGAATGTCTTTTACAGTTGAGCACAAGGTTCAGATGAGAACACTGCAGAATTTGGCACTAGTGACTTTGCTTTCATTGATCTATCCATCCATTTTCTGGGGGCAGTAATCTAATTCCTGGATCTTGCTTACTGCTGCCCCGATCTGCTCATTGATAAAGGTGCTAATTCTCATCCTTTGTGGCTTCGCACTCATGCTACAGGTCACAGGTCAATGGTGCCAACAGGACCACATCATCTGCAAAACGGGAAGACGAAATCCAGTGGTCCCCAAACCGGACTCTCTCTGCCCTTTGGCTATGCCTAGAAGTTCTGTCCATGAAAGGGGTGCCCCCTCAGCACCCCTCGAGGGACACAGGACACATGTAGAGCAGTTGGACAAACTCCTACTAACCCTTCAGAATCCTTGGGAGGGTGAAGATTGGTCCAGTGTTCCATGAACAGGACGAAATTTGTATTGTACTTTCTGGGTCCAAGGTTTGATCAACAGACAGACAATAATGTCCAGTACTCTGGCATAGACCTCCAGTACCAGATCTCCCTGAAGCTGGTGCATACAAGATACAAGATATTGTATCACTGGCAGGGATTATCATATCCCAGCCTGCTTGTGTATTGTAAATAACCCTTGTTGTGGTATTATTGTTCATACTTTCTCCCAACTGTAAAGTGTGTGTTTGCTTGTGTCATATGTGGACCCTGTCCGATCCTCACGTGCCCTTAGCTTTGTATAAATCTCCTACCGTGTGGGTCACTTATGACCCGGTGTCTGACCTCCCCGTGTTTCTCCATTATATTTGGATCGGTGCTTGTTGGATGACTGTGTTAGTCCTGTTAAACACTCAATAAAAGGGCCTGGTTTTTCCCTGCAAGCCTTCTCAGTATTCGCTGCTGCTGCTACGATGCCTCGCCTTGCTCTGCCCGCCACTACAATGTCTTTCTTGTCATTGAATGAGTACAATGAGATAACGTTTAAATCTTCCTGTAGAAGCTTCTGTAAAAACTGTACTGATTTAAGGAAAAAAATGTAAATCAAATCAAATAAATAGCATAAAGCAATTACAATACACAGTATAAAAGTATAGGAGGTACAGCTCTTAAAGACTGGGATCATCACTCTAGGCTGCCCATCCAGAGGCACAGTCCCTGAACTGGGACCTAGGCCTGGGTACTTTATCTATAGCATCAAATCTGGCTGTAGGTCACATTCCCTTTTGAATGTTGGGGCCATGGGATTGGGTAACATTACTGTCACATATTTTTGACGAGTTTCACCGTGTGAATGTCTGAGTCCGATTCTCAGCAAACCCCAGCCCCCCCATTCTGCGTACCTCTGCAGGGCTACTTCTCAACTCATTGTGATTCACACCAAATGGGCAAATGCACAAACACAAACACACACACACACACACACAGGTGTGTAATTATATCTTTATGGGGACTCTCCATTCATTTCTATGGGGACTCCAATCCCAACATGATGACATACAAAATACAAAACATTTTTGATTGTATTCACAGGTCTTTGTGGGGGACCTGAAAAATGGTCACACGACGTCAAAAAATGGTTATGATTACATTGGGGGGGACATTTCGTACACACACACACACACACACAATAATTCAAGAGGGCTGTATAATGAGTGGAGCCATTGTCATAGAGTTGATAATGTGATAGTAGCTTCTTTGTAGCTTTGCAGATGAACTCCTATATAATGTTGAATATTTAGGGACTTTACGAATGGGGAATGCTAAGTTAGAGCAGAACAATGAGCGGTAGACTGTAGACGCGCCCCTGACCTCGGTACACTGTAGACAAGCCCTTGACCTCAGTACGCTGTAGAAATGCCCTTGACCTCAGTATGCTGTAGAAATGCCCCTGACCTCAGTATGCCGTAGACAGGCCCCTAACCTCAGTACACTGTTGACAGGCCCCTAACCTCAGTACACTGTAGGCTGAACACAGATCTCCAGAGTTTTCCCCCTGCTAATCAGCCTCCTTCTTTATCAGTCTCTGAATGCTACGGAACATGACCTGCTCTCTAGGGCTGGCAGGCACATGAAATGAGCCAAGCTGACCAAGTTCTGCACATGATTTTGAGAAATACTGCTGCATCCTTTTGTTACTGATCATGAGACGCTTGTGGTAAAAACCTACAACTGACACATGAAACTAGGTTTGGGGAAGAAGGAAAGCGCATCGTTAGGAAATTCTTTTGTATGACATGTTATAATTCTCGTACCCAAAGGACTAAAAATAAATCATGGATGTGAACATAATAACTCGATCAAAGGTTATGGAAGTACCTTTGTGTCTTAACACTTGACTGTAAAGCTCATTAAAAACATTAAGTGTGGAATCGCTTTGCTGGTGCAGAAATGATTCACATTTTGTAGATAAACAAAGATATGCAGGTGTGAAACAGATCTTTCTAACCTTTCTAGGGGTCTTTTCAAGTGTGCTGACTCATATGAGTATGTTGCTTTCTTGTCACTCTTATTCATTTAATAAAAATTCACTTCCCTTTCCCACAATGATCATTTCTTTTTTTTTTAAAGTAATGCCAATGTGTGATAGTTTCTTTTCTATTAGTTATATTCTTTTCAGTTCTTTTCTTTTATTGATCATACATTAGCATTACTTTAAAATATTAAGACATTTTCTTCCAGTAAGCTTAAAAATAATTTCAACCTGCTTTTGTGTCATTCGGATTTCTAAGCCACTTTATCTTAAAGCAGATTAAGTTTGATTATTTTATAAATTGGTTATCCAGGCCTTTAAAGTGTCTTATTGGTCGCTATGAGTTCCTTTTACAGAGCCAGTAATTAACAATGAAGCTGAATCATCCTTCCAGCAGGACAGTGGGAATCATTGGCTTTGACTGAATACCACAGAGGCTCCGGATTAGGAGACACATCTTCTTCCTGTTATATAAATGCGCATTGCATGCGAGCGCTGCAATGAGGCAAATTTTCGAAAGGTGTTCAGTGACAGACTTGTGACAATATGGCAAAATTCATGTTTATTAATATATTCAACAACGTCAATAAGACAATAGCAATCTTTACAAAATTTACAAATGTACAGTTTAGCATGGAAACAAACTGATGCAGAATTTACCTTATCAGCTAGATCAAGCCAAATTTCAGTAAATCCTGCAACATGGTTTTGTAGAGATTCATGGAGATGCAATTTCATGTAAGGTCAACAAAACAGTGGTTAACAGCTGATGACAAAACACATTTTGCAAGTCCATGAGTAATTCACATATAAGTCTACATAAAGTGCATACTTTAAAAAGAGCATATTCAGCAGGTGAGATGGCTGGCAGTCCTGGATGGCCGACTGACTGAAGTCAGCAAAAAGCACTTCAGACATTCAGGGGGTCCCTCATGATTGATGTTCGCTTGAACAAGACGGATTTCTTAGCATCCACAATGGTAAAACAGTCTTTGCCTGAGATCCTGTTAACAGTTCGTGAAGTTGTGGCGGGGGGGGGGGGGGGGGGGGGGGGGGGGTTTGCTGGGGGCGTTCAACCAAGCTGCTGGAGAAAGCTGGAAATGGACCAAGGATCCATTCCGGGGTTTTCCTCACTGTCTGCCAAGCTTCTCCTCAGTTCAGTATAAAATCGAACCTCAATTTCTTGTCCTAAAAAAAAACAGAACAAAGAATATATTTGGTTGGAAACAGCCACAGAGCAGACTGCAGAACTTCATTGGTAATTATGATAAGATTCTGAGTACTTGTTATTTATAAATTCATACTCTGTATGGGATATCTATACTATTATATGCTCCTTGCTGACACACTGATATTAATATTGGTTCCCTATCATCTTTTTATGGGAAAAAAACAACATACTCATATTATTATTATGATTTTTTTTTTGCAGACCATGAATACACATACATACACGCTTCCCAATGACGTAAACCTTACGGTACTGAATGCATGTTTACCTGAATTGTCACTCCAGGTGTCCAGTGAGCTGTCTGATGGGTCGGTACTATCCACAATGTTGCTCTGCAGCCCGAATCCGTTCGGAAAGATGTCCTGCCATTGCGATGGGTCCTGCTCCAAGTCTTGTGTAATCTGAAAGAGCTGAAGATAGAATATTCTGTTATACCTTTTCATGATCCCACATGAATGTGCAACAGATCTAAGCAGAAAAATCAATGCAACATAATATAACAACATACCTCAGCTGTTACTTTATCATCAAAATCTGGAAAACAAGGCAGAAAAAATGGTTAGAAACATTCTACAGACAACAGTCTGTAGCAGTGACTGTAATTGGTGTCCTTATACTGAAAATGTCAATATTCATATTTTGCATATTTGTACTAATGACAATTCAGTTCAGCAGAATCAAATTAGTTCTATCACATGAACATTATGAACAGTAACACTGCAGCAAATGATGCATCAGGTACCTGAGGAGTGGCTTGGTGACACCTGGAGGAGGTGCTGGATATCCATGCTGTCTGGATCTTCAACTGATCCTTCTTTATCTGTCGAATACGGACTGCTTGAAATGTCCATTTCTAAAAACAAAATAGATTTGTTAAACCATATGGCTGCATCTCAGTTTATTTGCTGGGAGTCTTTAGAGCAGGCAGCCGCGATTATGCCATCCAAAGAAGTAACTGCCCCAACATGCCGTTCAGTGTGAGGGAAGTAAAACCGGCCCTTAACATGAGTGTAGGCCTGGAGGCGCTGTTTGCTCATTCTGATGGCACGGGAATGAAAGAGCCTTAGGGCAGAGCGGGCAGAGCGGGCAGAGCGGGCAGAGCATTCCGCCGTGCCGTACCTGACTGGGGAGAGTGCTCAACGCTTCCAGGTACTGGCACGTGCTCCTCACTCTGCACACTGTGACAACTGGCTTCCTCATTTTCAACTTCCTCCTGTAAAGCAGGTCCCCAAAAAAAAGACAAAAGTGAGTCCAGTCAAAGTTTTAGATAGAATGCCATAATTTGTTAACCGTTAATGCTTTAGAAAAATGTAAATATACTTGCCTTTCTCTTCGTCTTTTGTTTAGCTTCTCTAGTGCGCGCCTTCTTCTCTGTGGATGAAAGGAAGACGCCATCTTGAAAACTGTGCCTCAGTGTCCTCATTTGATTTTAGCACTTTTTATTTACGGTTTTGTAATAAAGCAGCAAATGCATGTGAGTGGCCCTTACCTTTCTTCTTGGAATCATTCTGCAGCATTCTATAAACCCTTACAGCTGCACAGCCTTTGTTGATGCTTTGGTCTTTGACTTCTACGATGTCTGGCAGGGAATTCATCGCGCATCGGAAATTGGCTTTCCACGTTTTAGGATCCGGATGAGATATTCCTGTCTTGTATTTTCCTAAAACAAAAAAAGCGAGACAAAAAAACCCCACATACTTAATACTTTATAACAATTTTTAAACCACGTATAAGTTTTTCAACACTGGCTTGTTTTATTACTGTAGAACATCTTTATTGTCTCTGTGATCTTACCTGTATGAATCGCCCACTGTTTAAAAAGACTGGCATCTTTTTCCATCTCCCAGCCATGGCGGGCTGCGTGCTTCCAAGGAATGGAAAACATCTTCTTATCCTAGATATTATCACAAAGTCAAGAATTTCAGGCACTTCAGTATTCTCTCCAAGTTTTAAGTTAAAACTAATATACTTATATTTGAGTTTCTCAAGAAAACATGGCAAAAACATTGGAATGCAATGGTTGAAAAGCACTATACCTTGTCCAGCCACACTAATCCAGGGATAGTTTGCGATTCAAGGTGATTTTCCAACCACGCCCTCATTCGCATGCGTGCCACAGGCATGACTGACAGATACAGGAAGGGGGACAGAGAGAGACATGCAGAGTATTATTAGAACATAAAAAGATGATGCAAAAATTACAAGATGGGATCGTTCTAATTATTACAGCATCTGCTTCATAGTCTTTTCTTCAGGGTATATTGAAGCACAGTTAACATTCATTATGCCACGCTTCTGCACAACAGTAGATGGCAGACAGCCTGAAATATTAGGTTGTCTTAGTGGGGACCAAACAATTAATGTGGCAGACCCCCATGACCACTACAACTTTTACAGCCCAAAAACCTTTGTGCATCTATTGCCTATTTGTAATTCACAGGAACTGGGTGGTGCATATGAAGACAAACATTCATTATGTGCCAAACAGGAAGAGGTATGCCTTAAGAAGACAATACTTGGTAGTTGCTTTCTGATGCTAGATGTCTTAGGACAAGACTGACAGTATTCACAAGTTTATGCACTACAATGCATTGAATCTTACAGTTCTGACATTACTTACAATAATTAACATGCAAATACATATGTCGTTCGCAAAACTGACCGGATTTATAATAATAATGTCTGTACGTATGTATATTGCAATGCAAAATAACAATGAAACAGCTCTCTGGAAACATTTAATCGAGCACTAAAAACGCCATAATTACAACGCAATCAATGATCAAGTACAGTTACTGATGTGCACAATGTTAAATGCAGTAACACAATTTCTAACGCTTTAGAAAATAGTTTAAAAAGTAAACACAGGACTTGGATTTATTTAAATAAAAACAAGACAGGATAGCACACATGTAATAGAAAAAAAATTACTAATATAAAATGATGCACTCTATATATGTTAAACATTAAAAACATGCGATGACCTATTTGTTGGATGTCGACTCTCAAAACCCTAAATAAACTTACTGTGCAACGACGTATATGACTGATATCCTTTGGAAATTGATTATTCCGCTCTATCTGCGCGCTTCTCTCACGGCCACCGCTGGCTCCGACAAAACTGACGTTCAGTGGGAAGCGCAGCTGTTTTAAAGAGGAGAGCGGGATTCCCCGCACGCTCACGTGACGGCCGCTTGTGGGGCGGGTCCAGCTCGCGCAGCAGCTCGCAAACATGCTGCGAGGCGGTGTGATTTCCGAGAAATCAGCACATTGTCTACAGAGGATGACAGCGACGAAGAAGTATGTGGCTCTAAGGCGACCGCGTACGCCTGCACGTGCAAACTAGAACGCGACACTTTCCTGTGCCTGATTTATTAATAACACGTATTTTAAGAAGCATGTAGAGTATAACATTAAGCACAATAACTGTCGACTGAGATGACTAAAATAAAATTATAAATCTCAGGCTAGACTAATTTAAACGCCATATATTTCATAAGTCTGTCATATTGTCGATATAACTATGTACATGATATAAATACACAACAATGCTGGCGCCCCGGGCCGCCCTCTCTGTCATCCATAACTGCGTCGCGGTTTTTTTGTAAACGGCGCTGAACAGGCTGTAGGGCGCCTTTCCGGGAAATGCTGTAATATTTATATGGAGCCACTCGTGGCGCTATGGATCCTTTCACATAAGGACACTTTTCCTTGGTGCGAAATCGGTAACGATCTCTCCTTGATACAACCATTAAACTGATTACACTAAACAAATATAATTGACCTTTAAAGGCACGAACAGTATCAAAAACAAATAAACTTTAACTTGGACGGAGTACAAATATTTATGTTTCGGGATGTAATCTACTTTACCTCGAATTAAAATTGACTATATTATCTGAATCTGTAGCGATTCGACGCGTATAGTAGTTACCGTAGTTGCCGACTCACTCAAATGTCTATTTCACCTTTTCTTGATGTACTTCTTAGATTATAGTTTATGTTTATAGAAATGTTTATTATGACTCGCGCCTCGTGCATTTTGGATTCTGCGCAGTAGCAGGCGTGGCGCCGAGGGAACTATGGTATTTTCCGACGGGTTTTTCGTTCCGGGAAAGCACAGGGGTTTCCCATCAAGGTTGAAGCATTGTCTTTTGGAATATCGATGTTCATTTAGGATTTAAAAGTACCGATATTTTAACAACGTACTATAATTTGAAGCCCCAAACCACTAATGCACGTTTCGCAAAAAGTATTTTTAAAGACGTTTAACAATTAAAATCAATAAAAAAATAAACTGTGAAAAATAACATAAAATCATATTTACACGTTTGGTACGTTACCTGTATCCCACCTGTATCTTCTCTCTTACGCGCTATGCTTATTGGGATCGTTTTCAGCCTCATTGTGACAAGTAGTGGATAAAAAGTTTGAACATGGATATTATGCAAAGCATTCTAACATTCTCTTATGTACCATATATATTGAACCAGATTGCTGTAGTAACATTATTTTTGCATATACTCATTGCAAGTTTATACTCATATACTCATGTATATACTGTATATATTATTTTTGCCTATACTCATTGCAAGTTTATACTCATATATTTATGTATATGCTATATTATTTTTGCATATACTCATTGCAAGTTTATACTCATACTCATTTATACACTGTATATATTATTTTTGCTTATTCTCATTCCAAGTTTATACTCATATACTCATGTATATACTGTATTATTTTGCCTATACTCATTCCAAGTTTATACTCATGTATATACTATATCTATTATTTTTGCATATATTCATTGCATAATGCAGTTACAGGATGGTGGTTTACCTGCAGAGCATTGCTGCTTGTCGCACCTCCACCAGTGCCTTTCCATATGTCCTCCTCTATCCTCTATCCACCTCTATCCACCTCTCTGGGCATAGACGGGTCATCAGCTGGGGACCACCAGTCATTGATGTTTCGCTCCTTTAACCCCAGTACATCTCATGGTGGCAGAGCGATGACTGGGATTTCCCCAGCCACCCACTGCAGATGCCCTAGGTATTATTTGACCCCCAATCCCTATCCTTTCTCCTCAACCACAGCCAAAAACTGCCCTTCTCTGCTTCTTCTGCCAACTCTTTGATGGCTCTCCGACACCCCACTCCTGTGCATCCCATGTTTCTGAAGAGTCGCATTGTTTATACTCATATACTCATGTATATACTGTATATATTATTTTTCCATATACTCATTGTAAGTTTATACTCATACTCATGTATATACTGTATATATTATTTTTGCATATACTCATTGCAAGTTTATACTCGTACTCATGTATATACTATATATATTATTTTTGCATATACTCATTGCAAGTTTATGCTCATGTACTCATGTATATACTATATATATTATTTTTGCATATACTCCTCTGAGAATATGAGATGGAACGGTACTAAGAATAGAATATAATTTCATAACAACAAGAGTAACCAGGGGTGTTGCAAGGTTCTCGAGCTGTCTGAAGTTCTCACGGTGTGAGCTAAGTGAATCATCCGGGGCTGGATCGGTTTCATCAGGAGCCACAGTTCCAATGGCCCATGCTCGTGACGCGTGTGATGGCAATGGGCCCTAATGTGTCAGAGCCTGAAGGTTGGGGGTTCGAATCCTGGCCCTGTGCATTTTCTCCCCAATTCCAGAAGATCATTGAATTTCCATCCAATATGCCAGTTGAGTAATTGTGTCTCATCCTCATTTCCTCCAGGAACACTATCTGACTCTGATCTTTGCTTGTACATTTGCTAAGTAAATATATGCATTGGATTTCTTCCCACAGTCTAAAGACACGCCAGTCAGCTGTGGTGTTTCTGAATGGTTTCCTGTGTACCCTGCGATGCAGTGCCATTCTCTGCAGCAGGCACATCTACCTGGCTCCCCTTGTAGGGGGAGATAAAAGTATTCTGAATCTGAATCGCTGTTTCACTAGGAATAGTGTCTCAGCTGCCTCACGTCCCTGTCCAGGATAATGGCAATACTACGATTGGGTGCAGAATGTGGCAGGGTAATTCACTGGTGTCGCACTGCAAATTCACTGGTGTCGCACTGCAACAGCAGTCCCCAGTTAAGCTAATGAGTTCCTTTCTGCTTTCACGCCGACAGCATGTCTTACTGCTTCAGGAGCCAAATGAGCAGGCAGAGGGGAAATCCTCAGCTGCAAGATGCTGCCCTCCAGAGCTGCAGCTCCCTGGCCTTAGGCTAGCTCCAGTGAGTCACTGGTAGCTCCAGTGAGTCACTGCCCTTGGTGCACGATGGGATTTGTGCCAAAGCAGTGATACTCCCTGTCCGTCCCCTCACATGAGGAGAGCTTGTAATTGGGGCATCTTTTGGTGGGCTATTCACTGTTTATGCCTAGTCAGTATTCGTCGTTTGAGAATTTGTTAAAACTTCCGTGTTTTCAGTGGCCATTTATCTAGAATCGTGCCGTGGAGGTCTTACTATCATGGAGAAACAGTAGTATTGGCATGAGTTCACTTATATTACAATCTTACTTTCACACATTTTAATGTTTGACACCCAAAACAAAATACATCCGTGGAAAGTCCCTCTTCAATGCCATATTCTGGCTTCATTTTTAATCGCTGTTTTAATGGCAGGTTGCTTATCCGGGGAACACAGAAATCCACTCATTTGTAGGAAACACATTTCTTCCTCTGTGCCATACTTATGCATAAGTGCTCATGGAAAATGGTGTATCGTTTGAGTTCTCTGCTCCTGTGCAAGCACATTGTGTGTATGGAGATGATGAGTATTTCAGATATTAAGATTCACGTAACATTAGGCGTTTTGCGTTCTGCACTAAGCCAGTCAGCTGGCCTGGCAGACAACTGTATCAGACTGTTTACAGTGTGGTCAGGCAGCTTAATATGAAGATATGATGAACCGTGAGAAAGGAGTTTGCAAATGGTCTGCAAAATGAGACATATTTTTAAAAACTTTGCAAATAAAATTGTAATCACTATATGCTCCAGTTAGATTAAATATTAATTTCTCCATCAAATTCTGTACAGATTTCCTTCCATTTTTTGAACAGTGGCCTTTATTTGCAGTGTCATTTGCTCACCAGTTCTCTGCTTGTGTTGTTTTGTTTGGGAATTACAGTTGTGCTTGTGTCCATTAGGTTGTAAGTCATTGTAACTGTAAGCTGGCATGAATGAAATACATTTACATACATGCGGCCATTTTTAATAACTACTTAGCATGACCACCACTAACATCTTTGGCATGCATGCAAACGAGAGCCTATGGCCTACAAGAAAGATTGCTGACACTATGTCCTTGTTTGAGAAACGAGATCCTTGAAAACATCAACAGGCAACATCGCAACAAAAATGAGAAAAAGACCAGCTTGTCTGCACTGCTTTGTTGACAGGACGTCTTGCCTGACTTGAGGTCCGTATTATGTGTCAGTAATTATTTATATTTGAAATATGTGTGAGTGATATGGACTTTGTAGTATTAACTTTTTTGCTAGATCACGTCGTCTCCATTCCAAGTCTGTACAGGTTTATTTGACATTGTACAACTCTGTCTGAATGAACTGTAGTCTTTCATAAAGTTATTTTATGTGGCAGGTATTGTATTATGTGCATTTTAGCTGCTGTTCATTGTTCTCATCTTTGAGCGCTGCAGGTCTTTGTTAATGGCTGCTTGTCTTGCAGTTTAACTGACCACCAGGTAATATGTTTAGCAGTTTCTGCAAGACATCTGCTGGCGCAATGTTGCTGCGGTTTGTGGCTCAGTGTGCCTCAGCGCCACATCCTGCTTTTGATAAAGCAGAGTGTGGGAGCGTTGCAGAGAGAAGTGGAACTGGCAGAGTATGTGAACTCTCCAAAGGTGCAGTCTGGATCCTGCAGTCTGGTTCCTGCAGTCTGCCAGCGACACTGGTCAGTGCTTCCCATGCAGCTATGCAGCTGCTCTTTGTAATGCTTTGGGTCACAGTGGAACGTCACCAATAGGGCTCTGTCTTGTGATTAACCTTTGTCCTGAGTGGGTTTTCTGTTCCTATCTCTAATGTTAGATGGGTCGGTGCCGACCCGTGTATTAAATCAGCCATAAATACCAGAACAATAATTTATCATCCAATTTGTTTCTTACCTCTTGGTTACCTTGTTAAGCTTCCTTATCCATGAAAAGATTGGTTTTAATATTTTTGGTGTGGCTTTCTGGACCTTTCTTTTGACAGTATACCTCTCATTTTCAATAGAAAAGTAATTGTAAAATAAACCTCAAGAGAATTATATAAATAAACTGAATTGGCTTTATCTTACCTTACATGTCTGGGCATGCCTTGCCTAGTCATTTAAAAAAAAAAATTATTTTGTTTAAATAGAGGTTCCTGATGCAGTAACCAAATTTATGTGGTGCTTTTATGCATTTTAAACTTACAAAGAGGTCGGTGCCGACCCAAACACCATAGGAAGGTTAACCCCATAACTTCTATTATATTCTATATACATGCAATATTCTTTGCATTCAATAATGGTTAAATGGAATTGTTAATGGAAACACAACTGCTTGAACAATGAGAAAAAAGTACAATTACCATAACAGGAAAAAAAAAACGTGCAGAACTTCTAACCGTAAAAAATTCGGTACTTAAATGGAATTTAAGTACCGAATTTTTAGTGTTACCAGTTGTTATTGTTAGTGTTACCAGTGTTAGTGTTACCAGCTAATGTTTTGCAGCACAGTTCTTGTCAAATTGCTCCCCCTTTTGGTGTGAATACATGTGTGTCAAACCATCTTTGGAGCAACAAAAACATTTTTATGGGCCCCAAT